CCGATGATAATGCTCAGCAATCAGCTTAGTTTAGTTTGCATTTAACAGGCAAAATTATTTGATGTTTTTGTGAAAACATTACATTGGCCCCTTGTAATCGGCCTCCTACTCTCATTACATTATTTGCATCCAAAAAAGGGTTCAAAGAAAGTAAATTACTTTTATTATTAACGGGTTTACCTTGTGCGAGGGAGTTTGTATCTGAATAAAAACTACATTTTTGAACCTCTCTTACTAAAAAGGATTCTGCCTCATTTAACTCCTTTGAACTTACTCCTCCTGTTCTTCTCTGTGCTCCTTTCTGTTTTGAACACCTAGAGTTCCAAATGAACCTGAAAATATAACTAACAATACGTAATAATTTTAAATAATTGTTAGTGATATTCTAGGATATTAATCAATAAATTTTGAAGGCAAAGTGCATAAACAAGCAATGTCAGTTCTTTTTCGCAGTTCATTAGAAAATCTCTCTCTCTTTTTTCTAATTGTTCCCAAAGTTCAATGTTCTTGTTAGGTATGACACCCTCACTCAAGAATGGAGGACCTTTCCACCACAGATCAGCAATCATGCAGCTTGTCAAAAATTCAGTCCTCGGGAAATAAGGTCTGCTGGGTTCTCCTCTGAACGCACATAATTCCACTGGCATGTCTGTGTGTTAGGTCTTGGATCTCTGCAACACTCACTCGATTAGCAACAAAAGTTTTTAGTACATGCGGAGGATTCTGGAGCCACGCTAACACTATGGTTGAGTCACACCACAGACATATTTTCTGATGTCCAATTTCAATAAAGGCACCACCTTTGCAACAAGCTGTGCTAGCAGTACAGCTGCGCAGAGTTCCAGTCGAGGTACTGTCAGCGGTTTTAGTGGAGCTACTCTGGACTTGCTGCAAAGCAAATGTGAAGATAAATTATTGTCACTTCTACATCGTAAATAGATGGCTACTCCGTATGCGTGTTCTGATGCATCTGAAAATCCATGAATTTGTATATCAGAAAAACTATCCTGTAAAACATATCTACTGACTTTCAAATTGTTGATAGATTGCATTGAATCAATAAAAAGTTGCCAATCCTTAATTATCCTTTCGGGTAGCGGATCGTTCCATCAAGCTTCAATAACCAAAGTCTTTGGATGAAGATTTTTGCTTTTGTTATCCCTGGACCAAGCAGTCCTAATGGATCATAAATGCGAGCAATATCAGACAACACTGTTCTCTTTGTGTAAGTAGTTGGTTTCTTGATGGTTGATTTGTACGAAAAACAATCTATCTTTGGATTCCATAATAATCCTAAAGTTTTGATGCTCTGATCGTCATCGAAATTACTGAAAGAATGTTCCTCTTGTCCATCTGGAAACTGCAAAAGATCAGGGTGATTAGCACACCATCTGTGCAGACGCATTCCTCCACGTGATAATAGGTTAATCAACTGCGACTGTAATTCTTTAGCCTCTATTAGAGTATGGGCTCCTGTGAGTACGTCATCGACGTAAAAATCCCTTTTTACTATTTGCGCTGCTAACGAAAAATTGTTTCTCTCGTCCTCTGCTAATTGGTTAAGTGTGCGTGTTGCCAGATATGGTGCGTTGGAAGTACCGTAAGTTATAGTCTTCAGTCTATAGACCTTAACTGGTTCTTCTTCACTACTCTTCCATAAGATGCGTAATAAATCTCTTTGATGTTCTTTAATCAAAATCTGACGATACATTTTTACAATGTCTGCTGTGAAGGCAATTTTATGCGTTCGAAATCTGCAAATAATATCAAATAGTTCGTCTTGAACTAACCCTCCATTCAGCAGAATATCGTTTAACGAAATTCCAGTAGTCGTAGGAGCAGTGGCATCGAACACTACCCTAAGTTTAGTGCTAGGTTTCTCGGGCCTGAAAACCCCATGGTGAGGAAGATAATATGAGAAACTAGAGCTATCCCCTTCATCAATTTCTTCGGAATGGCCTAATTCATTATATTCCTTAATGAAATCTTCGTATAAGTGTTTCATTGCGGGATTGCGAGTGAAGCGTTTGAGTAGATAATTCAGTCTTTTGCTAGCGTTTTCTCTCGATTCCCCTAAAAGGCTAAGTCCTTCCTCCTTAATTGGCATTTCCACTACGTATCTGCCATCATCTTGCCTCGCGTGTGTACGAAGAAAGTGCTGTTCACAAAATTCCTCTTCCTGACTTTTCACTTTTTTTGCTTCATTAATACCTTCAATCTTCCAAAACCTTCTCATGTTGTCAGATAAATTATCCCCATTTTCCACAAACCCACAAAAATTATCAACACTGCCTTGCTGCGGCATGCGTACTGACCCGCTAACAATGTATCCAAAAACTGACTGATGGAGAATCAGGTCTTGCATATTTATTCTATTTGTTCCCAGTAAATCAAAAAATATTTCGTTAGATAATAAAACATGTATTTGACCAGGTTTATAAAACTCTGGATCAGCTAAACCAATGAGTTGCAACTGCTTAACATCAGGAATGTTTATATATCTAGCAGGCGTTACGCGAGTTATTTTTGGAACAACAAAAAATTGTAAGGTACGAATAAAATCTCTAGTAGCGTTAGCGATGGTTGCTATAGCTTTTTCCTTAACACCCATAACTGTACCATTGATACCATGAAATAGAAGCGTTTATTTTTCTTTTCTTCAAATTCAATAACTCAGCACCTTGTTTAGTAATGAAATTATTTTGAGAACCGGAATCCAGCAAGGCTCTCAGCGAGATAAATTTTCCATCATTACCCTTAACGAAAATAATTGCAGTTGAAAGTAGAACTTGTTTATTAAAAGAACTGGAAATATTCAGCGCAGTACCGTTAATGGACTTTGCTTGGTTGGTTTCATTAGTGTCACTAACCTTTTGGCTGTTTGCCATTGGAGTAAATGTATCAGCATTTGGAGAAAGATTACTGCTTAATTTATTAGTCTTGTTTGTGATTTGATTCGATGTGCCATTTGCTTTATCGAAATTTTCTTCATTTCGATCAAAATGTAAGAGCGAATTGTGAAATTTCTGACATTTTTCTGCATGTATTAGAACTTTTACAGTCCTTGATTGTGTGGACCGAAGAATAAACAATTGAAATACAGTTTTTTTTTGTCTTTACAAATTCAAATCGTTTCTTGACTGTTAGATTTAAGAATTGCGCACATTTCAACAACAATAAATGATCAGCTTTACAATAAGGACAATTTTTTGAATTTTTCGAAAGTGATGTAAGAGCTTTGGTATTAACTGAACGTTTCGGTTCCCCTTGCGGAGATTTGTAATGTGATAGGTGAGAGCGTGTTCCTTCAAAAAACATGTCAGTTGTTTAACTGTTCCTATTTCGTCTTTTTTAAGTGATCTTTCCCACCAACACCGAGTATTTCTATCCAACTTTTCAACTAATAAATAAACAATTAACGTGTCTGAAAATTCTTCCACCTTTTGCTCCAATGCTTCCAAGGATCGTAAACATTCATGCACCTTATCGATAAATTTTAAAAGCGACGAAGTAGAATCACTCGTTTGAGGTATAGAAATTAACTTCTTTATGATAGAAGTGATCAAATCTTTTTTGTTGCAATAGCGATCAACCAACAGATTCCATGCTATGTCATAATTTCGAATCTGAAATTGGAATGGACTGAATAATATTTAAGCGAATCTGCCTTACACGAACTCTTTAAATATTGCAATTTTTGCGCATTAGTTAATTTGCTGTTTTTATGCACAGCTGCGGAAAATAAATCCTCAAATTCAATCCATTCTTCGATTTTCCCACTGAAATATAGGAAGAGACAATTTAGGATATTTTATATCCCAAACAATTTTATATCCGAAACAATTATGTCTTTACTCGAACCGTTTTCATTTGAACAAGCTATTCCTTTGAGAACTGATCTCAAAATTTTTTTCTTTTAATTTTCAAATAAATTTCATCGAGATTATCTACTATATTTTCCTTTTCCTTAATGAATTCGTCAGTGTCCTTTTCCTTCACAATGTGCAAATAAAGAATCGAAAATGTTACTTAATTCCTTTTTAAATTCTAATATTTTTTGATTTCGTTATAACTCCAATAAGGAAATATCTGCTTCATCCACTGTAGAATTTACCTTATTTTCAAACTTTCTGATACTGCATTTTAAACTCTTTTTGTTAGCTTTAATTGCTTTCAATTCACTCATCATGAACAAATAAATAATTTATCACTTACCGTGATTGCAGATTTCTCGACAGCAACACCGGAAATGAACGATGACAGAGTATCCAATCTTAATTGCGTAATCCACACGAAAACGAAACCATTCCAAACACTCTATATGAAGTTATCCGTCATACAACCAAACGAAAGTATTCCAAATGTTCTAAAAAGTTAATTTTAGCAACGATATCTTTTACCTCCGGCTCGACGGACCATAAAGTGTTCATGCGATGCGTGCGTTGTTATACAACAATTTCAAATTAACTAGAAGTGGACTGTACTAAATATTTTATTCGACAACTTTAATCAAATGCGTGTCATCTTTCAAGCGATGACTTACTACTAATAACAACAGCAAATAAAAAATAAAACTGAGTAAGCGTTTACAGGGTTGCTGTAATGAACATCTGCGCCATGCAAGGCGCCAAGAAGAGAAAAAATGACGTAATCTTACAGTTAAATAGTCTTAATGACTTAACATGGCTATTATAATATTATTGGGTAATTTAGATGGCTATTGCAATATTATTTATATTGTTATTACCATGATATTGCATTGAAAGTTGATTATTTCGTATCATAGAACTGCTTATCTGTGCCATGCAGGGAATTAAAAATTTAATAAATTAAACCATAAATTGTCAAAATCACTAATAAATAAATAATATGCAAAGAATGAAGCTTTTAATGAAAGGAATAATTTTCCCGAAGCAGTTAATCACACTGTAAATCATAAAATTATTATTTATATAAACTACAATAAAGCTTATATTTTAAATTTCCAAAATAGTACCTACTTCCACCAATACGACAAAAAATAGAAATAATGCTTGGAATGATGCATTGAAATAAACTCCATCATGTAACTTGAGAAGGAAGACACATTTCACCAGTAAGGTCCCAAATACGATTGAATAGGCTATACCAATTCCAGCTCTAGTGATTCCACAGAATATCCAGTGTGGTTGTGGCACATATGTAAGTCCTAGTAGAGAACATAAGAACAGGCCTAATAATAGGACTTGCCCGAGAAATAAATGTCTTCTTCCGCCACAAGATTTGTATAAGACATAGATCTCGAAAATGAAGATGGCTGCTATGTTGAGCAAAGAGAGTGAGACAAGTGGTATTACCCATGGTTCATCCCGGAAATTAAGGTAAAAAGGAGTTTCTTTGACTGTTATATTTGGAAGATCAGTTTCTGTTCCATTGAACTGGAAGGTAGTATCAATCAAATCTGTCTCTGGTGGAATCGTTGAATTGGTGTTATTAAAAGAAAATGTTTCATTTAAAGCCATTGGAATGCTTCAGAGAGCTGTTGAATGGTCTCCTCTTCAGAAATGGCTTTGTATAAAACAAAGAACTGCACATCTAAAATAAAAAAAATCAAATATTTCAATATAAAAGTATTATGCATAAAATCTGCAAGTGATTTTCAAATTCTTAATTATTACTATGGCTTAATAATCTACATGCCAGAAAAAAAATGCTTAAAAAATATTAAGAGGAAGGTGCCCTTTAATCAGGGTGTAAAGATGAATTAAAAATAAATGGTGACAGAAATTTCATCAGCATAATCCTTCCAGAATTTGTGGCCGTTATTTTACTATTTATAAACCATCTGTGGCAAGGATTGTCACTCGATAAAACATGAGACTTTTAATATTTATTTTAATATTTATCTCCCATACAGCCTTGTACATGGTACTCCCCTCAGAGTTGCCATGTAGAAAAACATTCCATGTTTATGTCGTCTTTTAAACTAAACCAACCTTTAAATGCTTAGCAGTAAGCGATGATACCTCTCTCCGGAAGGAAAGACTACTTTATTGTAAAAATCTAAAAAAATTAGAGATCAAGAAACAGTAAACACATTTTATATTTCAGTAGTATATTAAACAGCTATCAAAAATATATATAATTCATAACATGCATGTAATTTAAAAAATTCTGAATACTTGCAGCGTTATCAAAACTAAAAGAAGTTATTTTAACGCCATATATTGCATGTCTGGTACAGAATCACTTATTATTTTATTTTATATAACTGAAAACTTTATTTTTGTTCAAATTTACATTAAAGAATTGCGTTGTTGTTGCGGCAATGCTTAGATTCCATTAAAATATAACTATATTGCTGTACCATAAGATAGATCCTTGTTTTAATAGACACCAAATTTCTAAGACAGATTGATACCGTTACAGGCTACGGGTTTGTTAATATCTCTCTAAATGAGAACTGTGGATAAACGGGAAGGAGTTAACAATTTATCATAACATTTACGACACGCAACACAATAAATAATTAGAAAATATCTCAAGGAGAACGCGATATTAAATCTCACAGTTGACAAAGGACTAACGATAGCAACAACTTGACCGTGGTCTGGGAGACATATTTATTTAGTGTAATACCAGCACGAATCTGTGTAGCATGGGTTACAGCCGAAAACATCGCGGCAAAAACATCGCGAACGAAAACGTCGCGGAGAAAACAACGCAAGGCGAAAACGTCGTGCTACAAAACATCGTGGGAGAAAACATCGCAGTCCTAAAACATCGTGGTACAAAACATCGTCGTCGAAAAATAAAGCGGTTCAATAACTTCGCAGTTTAAAAACATCGTCGTCGAAAATATCGTGGTAAAAAATAAAGTATCTACAAATCATCGCATGACGATAACATCGCAGACATGCTTTTCGTAAACATGCTTTGATAACTGTAAATGGATATCCCCATGATGATTTGTGAGCGCAAGATGGAAAGAAAGATAATTTTTACTTTCACATTTTTTTATTAACTAATCAATTTTTCTGAAAAAGTAAGAAGGAAACTTAAGCATAGCAAATTAATGCAACTTATAGCAATTAACAGAATTTTAAACCGACATAGTTAACTAACAAAAGCCATTAATAAATAATTTTATAATGTTTTTACTGGTAATTATTCATGAAAAGTATAAGTTGCATTTAATTTTCTATGCTTAAGTTTCCTTCTTACGTTTTCAGCAAAAATTGATTAGTTAATAAAAAATGTGAAAGTAAAAATTATCTTTCTTTACATCTTGCGCTCAAAAATCATTATGGGAATATTCATTTACAGTTATTAAAGCATGTTTGTCAAAAACATGTATGAAAAATGCATGTCTGCGATGTTATCGTCATGCGATGATTTGTAGATACTTTATTTTTTACCACGATATTTTCGACGACGGTGTTTTTAAACTGCCAAGTTTTTGAACCGCTTTATTTTCGACGATGATGTTTTAGGACTGCGATGTTTTCTCTTTGCGATGTTTTCTCCCGCGATGTTTTGTAGCACGACGTTTTCGCCTTGCGTTGTTTTCTCCGCGACGTTTTCGTCCGCGATGTTTTTGCCGCGATGTTATCGGCGGACACCGTAGCATGAAGTGTCGGGAGTAATCATCCCATATGAGCGATGATTTTGCAATTTAAAAGCTTCCACACTCAGAACCCAATAGATCAACGATTTCATATATGAAACAATCACTTATATATACAAAACATATGATCACAAATACAAAACGTACCTTAAAGCAACACATAAATAAAGAAAACAATGGACAATGTTTTACAACAATGAAAAAAGGAATTGAAATATTTACACATAATATTTCAATGATGTATTATATGTAGGTAAAGAATATTGAACAATATTCAATATTCTTTACCAATTCAGAAAACACGACAGAGAACGGAATTCCGTGAAGATTATTTCAGATTTTACGAAACTCTTTGCAAGATTCCAAGAGACGTACGATATTAGAAAATATTCACGTAGAAGGCTAAACAATAACAAAAGTGATTTTCATCATGTCTTAAATCATGTCTTAATCAAATCATGTCTTAAAGAAACTACGATAAACAAGTTGAAACAATCAGAAACACAGCCTTTAAGCTATCAGGCTATAACGATGAAGACAGCTTCACGAGAAAGCATTAAATTACAGATTCCGACTCGGCCGATCGCTGTCCAGCTATCGCTAAACTAAAGACACTACTAACTGAACTCAATATACTACCGATACTCCAGATACTCTTCATCATAAACTGACGATACACTGCTACTCCAAGTACAGGCAGGGTTTATATAGCTTATGGCCTGCCTTCTAGAGCATTCTGGTGCTTGAGCTGGTAAGAATTCGTTCTAGAATGTTCTCGCTCCGTCTATGGCACAGCGCCAATTTTGTCGCCAAGTGGGAGATTTAGCGCCAAATCTGGCAACCCTAAACACACTTTGCGGAGAAGCTATCTTACCGCAGCTGGACATTTCGTAACAATATGTATGTCCTTACATAAAATGCAAAATAGTATATAACTACATATGGATACGAATTAGAGCCTTTAATTTGAAGATTCACTTAAAACTTACTCTGCTATTATAACTGTTTTTGAATTTATTAACAATACAAAACTGAAACACTAAAATGACTACATATAGCACTGAACAACATAAAAATCCCAGTCTATAATATTAAGGATAATATTATGATGGAAATAAATTTCATAATCAGCTGTTTTCCATATAGAAAAGTTTTAACATTTTAAGATTTTAAAAAATATTAACTTACCGGGTGATCAAAAAGTCAGTATAAATTTGAAAACTTAATAAATCACGGAATAATGTAGATAGAGAGGTAAAAATTGACACACATACTTAGAATGACATGGGGTTTTATTAGAATAAAAAAAATGGTTCGGTATGGGTTGGATGTACCACATCTACTGCTATCGGGCCTTTTTCCTTCTAGGAAATGCGTGATTCTGGTTTTGTAACTGCTACCGTGACGGGTGAGAGGTACGCCGATATGTTACAGAATGGCATCGTCCCCAGCCTGGCTGATAAACACCTGCTGGAACGTACGATTTTTATGCAGGATGGCGCTCCACCCCATATTGCTAGACGCGTGGAAGATCTCTTGCGCGCGTCGTTTGGTGATGATCGTGTGCTCAGCCGCCACTTTCGTCATGCTTGGCCTCCTAGGTCCCCAGACCTCAGTCCATGCGATTATTGGATTTGGGGTTATCTGAAGTCGCAAGTGTATCGTGATCGACCGACATCTCTAGGGATGCTGAAAGACAACATCCGACCCCAATGCCTCACCATAACTCCGGACATGCTTTACAGTGCTGTTCACAACATTATTCATCGACTACAGCTATTGTTGACGAATGATGGTGAACATATTGAGCATTTCCTGTAAAGAACATCATCTTTGCTTTGTCTTAATTTGTTATGCTAATTATTGCTTTTCTGATCAGATTATTGCTTTTCTAATTATTGCTTTTCTAATAAAACCCCATGTCATTCTAAGTATGTGTGTCAATTTTTACCTCTCTATATACATTATTCCGTGATTTATTACGTTTTCAAATTTATACTGACTTTTTGATCACCCGGTACTTAATAAACCCTTCACTTCTGTTATTACAGAAGTATAGATAGATAGATACTCTTTGTGAAAAAATATATGTAATAGCATTCTTTTGTTCCAATTTATTAATACTACATACAGAGATAAATATAGAAGTATAACTATATTGCTGTACAGCAGCTTTTGCAGAGGCCTGATACTATTGAATCTACTACGTACCGTGCCGTATCCCTGTGTGTGCAATAATCTACGCCTTTTAGTGTAATGGATTTGCTTGTCCTATAGTCTCGAAAGTGCTTATTAAATATACACTTGTAGCAACTAAGCTAATGCAAAATTTTAAAGATCAGGTGATAACGTATGGTTAGGTGGCATATCAAACATTCTTTTCCACTTAATTACATTCACTTTTTCCCACGCGGAACCATTAGGAGATAATGAATCAATTATGTTTTATTTAGGATGAATAATGAAAAAATGCCTTAAATTCAAAAAGATAATGACAGATTTATCATAATGACATTTTCCTCTCACTTACTAATGCGCAATTCATCTCACATACTATGTGTAATAATCATTATTACGAAAGGAATTTGATTACCATTCTACTATATTAGCATGAATAATTGCAAAACTCTGCATGTATACATCAGGAAGCTCGCAGTTGATGAATTCTGATGGAGTTCTTCATCAAATCTCATTATTTGAGAAGTAAAAGCAATACTTTTTATATTCTAGGTACTAGCTGGAACCTAGCCGCGAGCGTTTAAGATGCTAAAATAGTCACAAATTCGAGGGTTTAGTAAATTTTAGCTTTTTACCTGAATATTTTCTTACTAGTAGAAAATAATCATTCAAAATTTAAACAAAAATCTGTTTAATAGATAAGAACTCTTGATAGCAATAACCACAGTTGATTCGAAAGTACATATGAAATTAAATATTTCATAAGCATTCTTGATAAGGGAAACTTATC